GCGAGATTATTCAATTCCCCCATAACTTAATAGAAAATCCTTGTAAGTTTTTCCAGGATTTCTCCATGCCCTAGAATTCTACTTAAATAGAAGAGAAAATAGGACCACTACACTTCTCATTATCGGTCTTTAAAACAATTTTGTATATATTGTACCATCATGAATATCTAGCATAATATATTCATGTGAGCCGTCTCATTGTGAATCTCACCATCAAAATTTTCAATAACATTAACTAACTCAGACAAAAACCTTTTTCATCCCTGTCTACATGAATATATCCTATTTGCAATATCTTCGGTTATAATTATTCAATAATACATAATAATTAACCACTAAAAATCATTGAGCTTTAATATATATCCCTTACAACTTCCAACCAAAATCACAAGGAATTTTTGGGCTCTAATTCCAGTTGATATAGATAGGAGAAAAGAATAATAAGATTTGTTAAAATCAAAATGGGTAAAAATTAATAACACCGTAACTATGAGAATACTTTTAAAATATTTAATCTTGTCAATTCATGTTTTACTTGCTAAAATGTTATTACAATCTTCTACATAGAAAAAAAAGACTCTAAATAACCCTAACAATTCTGACTAAAAAAATAAGATAAGAAAACTATATTTAAATAGAAAAAAACTAGAAAAACATGATGATGCAAAATAAAAAGATAAAAATAGTAAAATATAAAATTAATTTAAAAAATAAGTATTTTTTTTAAAAAAGCTCAAATATTAGGATCATATTACGTAATCCATCTTAAACTTGCAAAAGGTAAGAGCTAGAGTACACTAGGTAATATTTATATATTAAATTTGATTCGACCAATAAGTTGATTTAGGAATTGTGATTTAAAGTTGACCCAAATCGTGTTTTAATTTGAATAAAAAAGACAATGTCCAAACTTGATTAACTAATAATGCAATTGAACTGATCAAATTATTACGATGAATTATTTTTAAAAGAATAAAACTAGGTAGCTTTGATAAAAAAAAAAACCTAAATTAACTTCACAACCTCTATAATTTGGATTCTTTTTTAGAAAATTTAGGTTTTTTTAAGTTAGATCCGAGCTAGCTTTGATATCCCTTCATAGAAAAGAAATTTTACCTGCTTTGACATAAACAATGAGGATTCTCAAAAATAAAGAAAAACAAAGATTTCATACAGTGTACAAAGTAAATTTGATTCACATGGAAAATCAAGATAAACAGGATAATAAGGTTCTTAAAATAACAATCTGTCCTAGAGATTAATATGCAAGATGGCAATAAGTTACAAATTTGAAAGTACATTTAAGTTCAGTTCACTCTCCATGGGAGCGGCCCATCCTTTATTAGGAAATTAATAAATATAAATAGCAATATCAAAAAAATATTTTTATTAAAAATTTACTGATAAATTTTACTAATGATAATATTTTTTTGGTGTATAACGAGAAAATTACAATAAAAAATAAAATAATTAAAACAAAGTATAAAAAAATAATGTGGTAATGATTTTACCGACATAATTTATTACGTCGGTAAAATCCATTAGTAAAACTATTAGTAAATTGTGAATACTGTTTATCATGTCAATTATAAAGAGAATCACTAACAAAATATTTTGTAGGTAAAACACCCTAATAAAAAGCTTGAAATCTCTAATTTCACCATGACTCGTCTTCTTTTTTCTTCTTCTTCTTGTTTTTTTTTCATATGTAAAAAACATCAATATCCATTTTTTTTTTCTTTTCTTCTCTCTTCAACTACTTCTCTTCTTCTATGCTCAAGTGTCTTCTTCTCCTTTCTTTTAAGTTTTTTTTTCTAATTAGTATATTTTATGAATTTTTTTTTTCTCTTTTTCACTTCACTTGTAACTACATTAAGGTAAGAAGTTCTTTTTCCTTTTTCTTTTTATTTTTTTCACTATATTTGTTTTTTATTTTATTTTTAATTATTTTTATTCTTCATAATTGTATGAATGTTGTTGTAAGGTTTTTTTTTTTTTAAATATGATATCAATTTTTAATCAATTTATTTATAGAATTTTAAAATTTTTTTCATATGAATTTTTTTAGTTGAATTTATTTGTTGTAAATTTTTTTGAGTTGATTTTCTTCTTCTTTTTTCCAAGCATTTTGAGTATTACAGAATGTTGATTTATATTAATTTAATTATTTTGTAGTTTTGTAAATTTTTTTTTAATATTTTTAAATAATTACTGATGAAATTATATACGGTATTTTGCTGAGGGAAATACTGATAGAATGAAATAAATAATCTTTTTTATTTACCTTTTCTGTTAATAAATCCATCAATAATAATTTTTTTTATTATTAATGGACTTACCAACAAATAAAAAATTACCGACATTAGATTTACTAGTGGAGCATTTCCTCTCGTGATTTTATTGGTAAATTAATTATTAACAAAATAATAATGTAAATACTAATGAAAAATTATATCAATAAATATAAAAATTATGATAGTGATAGATAAGGGGCTTCTTCTGCCTCAACTGCATAAAAAAAAACACAAGTTTTCCTCGTAACGTATTGAACAACAACACTAGTTGAAAACAAAACAGAAACAACAAAAAATAATACTAGGAACGATATTACCTGGTTATTATGGCCACTTTTCTTCTTCCTGCAGTTAACAGCCTTAGCAGGCAGACGAGCAGAACATCTAGCAACCAAAAACGAAAGGACCAGATGAACCAGGATTTAACATAAAGTATCGCAGACATTTTAAACTAACGAAGTAAAAAGAGATCAAGGATAAAAGGCCATATATATACTCGCGGCAGAACATCTTGCATGCAACATATTTTCGGGCCAGCTCAACCAATTTAGGCTAAATGTTCTTGATGCATGCTCCTTTACCTCCTCCTCTCAGCCTCAGCACCAAATGAACAAAATAATGACACAAATCCCAACAAGTCAATCATCTTTGCGTTTGATACCAAAACCCAGAAGCCAAGCTTAACAATCAAAGCAAAAACTATAGTACCCCAGCAGACACAAGGCAAAACATTATTCATATTTCCTGTATAAAAGCATATTCAACATTTCAACCTCAGGATTACAATCAAGCTAAGTGACCTGGTTATTTAGATTTGGAGGATTGATTATAAATCCTAAGCCTTAATTATGTTCCATTCTAGCTAATTTAGCAGCACCCCAATTCTAAACTAAAACTGATAACTAATTTGCAAATTACTATGTAAACAATGGAAAAACACTGAACAGAAAGATAAAAGAACAAAAAGCTAACGGAGAAGAAGACATACCTTTCTGGATGCTGTAATCAGCCAAGGTCCTTCCATCTTCCAGTTGCTTGCCAGAAAAAATGAACCTCTGCTGGTCTGGTGGAATGCCTACTCAGCACAAATCGCCATGTTTGATCACATATAAAGTATTTGATTATTTTTTTTAAGCTGAAACTTGAAACTTTCAAGCACAGACTATCAAAAGAAAGAGATCAGAAAAGGTTTCACCTTCCTTGTCTTGATTCTTGTTCTTGACATTGTTGAGGCTGTCACAGCTTTCTACCACAAGAGTCATGGACTTTCCGGTGAGGGTTTTCACAAAAATTTGCATCGTTCCCTTCTCTCTTTTGCTCTTTCTCTGTCTATCTGAATACAGGTGCTCACTTGTACCTCATGCTACATAGTTTTTCATAGAGATAATCCTTGGTAACCAAGTAACTTTACATGGAACCCTAAACTAACCCTTGAAAATACTTGTTGTCCATGCATGATTATTCCATGTTGGAAAAAAAGAAGTTAACATTTGCATCTATCTGCTATTATTCAGTTATCATTATGTAAACAGCTATTTCATTCTTATTCCTGCAAAGCAAAAGGCGTTAAGGAGGTTAGGACTTGGGAATTGGCACTCCAATTTGAGTTCCAGATTGGACAAATAATCATCAATTCCATAAGAAATGACCCTTTTCCTTTCAATCTTATAAAATAAGGTCAATGCAATGTTCCAAAGAGGAAAAAGAATTTGTGATGGTAATTCCTGTGCAGTCTGAATTCCTGGGCAAAGAAGAAAAATAAGGAGCATTTGACACAATCGGCATCTTTGCCTCTTGATCGAGCAAGTATCAAAAGAAGCAACCGCATATAGAAAGCCAATTTCACAACAATGTAGCCTTAAAACATACACCTTAATCGTCTTTGATGATAGCATGGATTAGAAACTAGAACATGAAACAACGAAGTATACAGTTTTTTTAACAACTCAATCAATTTATTGGGATGGGTCAGTTCCACAGCGGCGTAGAAATGTTCACAAATACTCGACTCAGGTTCTTCAGCAATTCAAATGCCAAATGGTAAATCCCTCTAGCACAGAAGTTCGAGGTGTAAAAGTTGCTAAGAAATTAAGCACTTCGTCACGTTCTTAGAGTAAAATCTCAATTTGATAAATAGGTTAGTTTTCCCCCGCCCTTTTGTAGGGTAATACATTGGAAAAGCAAGAAACCTATTTAAGTATAAAAAACCAACAATAATGGGCTAATGGGCATAACTCCGCAATTCCCTACTAGTATAGCCCATGTCTCTTGTTCTTCAGATTTCTTGATGTTGTCCTGAATCCATTCCGACATTAATGGTCTTAAGATCGAAAGTGCAATAATCGTTTAGCTCACAGCCCACCAAAAAGCATAAGCTGGTTCTAATAAGGATTTTAATTAGTGAGTCAAATAAAGATTCTAAATCCTTTTTTATTATTCTAAATCCTAGTTTTATAAGGATTTTAATTAATTAGTGAAATAAGAATTCTAAATTCTTTTTTATCTAGGAAAACTTTTCCTAACTCAATGAGGAATCCTTCAATAATATCTACTCCTCTCTTAATTTGTTATTGTTTTACCACCCCTCCTGTGTATATACCCCGGCCTTCCTCTGGTGCTCGCTCCTCTCTTATTTTCTTATTGTTTTTCTAAGAATTTAGGTGATTAATTACTGATTTTCTTCCAAACTGATCAAAATTCAAAACCATGCAAATCTTTGTGAAAGTCCCATCAGAAAAAACCCTAACGCTCGATGTGTTATCTTCAGACACCATCAGCAACGTCAAAATTAAGATTCAAACTAAAGGAGGAGTCCCGCTAGACCGGCAACGCCTAATCTTCGCAGGCAAGCATCTTGAAGACAACAAAACCCTGGCCGACTACAAAATCCAAAGGGAGTGCACTCTCCATCTCATGCTTAGGTTTCGAGGGGGTGCTGAGAAGAAGACACACAACACACCACATAAGTTCGAGCACGAGAAAGAGAAAGAGAGTGGCAATGTGGAGCGGCTGAGGAAGGAGTGCCTAGAGTGTGGGCCTTAACGTTTATGGCCAGCCACATAGATAGGAATTATTGTGGTAATTGTAGTGCACTCTCCATCTCATGTTTAGGCTTCGAGGGGGTGCTAAGAAGAAGACATACAACAAAGTACCAAAGAAGGTCAAGCACGAGAAAGAGAAGGAGAATCTTGCTGTCTTGAAATTTTATAAGGTGAGTGATGAGAGCGGCAACGTGGAGAGGCTGAGGAAGGAGTGCCCAGAGTGTGGACCTGAGCAGTTTATGGCCAGCCACTTAGATAGGCGTTCTTGTGGTAATTTGGGGTTTAGTTTTGTTTCTGATCAAGAGAGTGGAGGTGTTGTTTTGAAGATGGTGGAGGAACTGAAATCATACGAAAGAAGGAAAAAAATAATTCTTGCACAGGATTAATTCGTGGCTTAATTTTGTTTTCCATAAATAAAAATTCCGAGTATTTTATCCGAAATGTTAGCTTCTATAGTTCCATTGCTTGTGAATTTTGTTTCTTAATGCAATTATATGGTTTCTGAAATATATCTCAGCATCATCAGTTGATAAAGATCATAATATTTTGTAAGAATTGTGGCTTATGGCATCACATGGTAATGAATTTGGTTGATTTCTTGGTAAGAGAGAGATTATACAGCAAGTTACTAAGTTTAACATTGATAGTTTAACACTTTAAACACAGAAAAGAGAGAAGAGATCAGGAGCAACTCTGCTGTAGAATACCAAAAAACACAGAGAGAGAGATAGAACTAACAGCACCATGCATCAAAATGGAATTAGGCAGCCGAGCTGATAAACCTGGCGCGCCTTCTTTATCCGGTAAAAGCAGCAGCACATGCATGTGCTGGCCTAGCAGTATATAGTCTAACTCCAACATCTGTCGAGAGTCCTGCTTCATTACTAAGGGTTCATACTAGACAAATCCTATCTGGCTGATATCTTAGCTGAATACTAGATATAACCAAGAAATGGTATAGAGAAACCTCATCATTCTGTTGCACCATATATATAATGATAGATTTAATTTTCTTCCCTAGCTGTTGCAGACGCTTAAGTTCATGTTGGAAAAAAAATACAAGTCAAAATGAAATAAATATAAGGAAGGATATCTCAAACCTAATTTTTCTCAGTTTTTTACCTTTTCTTTTTGGTAGCTAAGGAACAAGAGAGACAGAGACAGAGACTGAGAGAGAGGTGGCGTTTTTGTTGACTGAAAAATGAAAGAATAAATATTTATCCATTTAATCTCATTTTAGTCAATATTTCAGCGAAAAAAAATCTCTTGAATTTTAAAGATTTTGAAAAAAGAAATAAAAAGAAAAACACCATAAAAAAATAAATTATAAAGAGTCAGCTATGTTTTAACCCCACTAGTTTATAAAATTTTCCACTTAAGTCTCTCTCAGTTTAAAATTCTCGATATTAGTCTTGTAGTTTCCAAAAAAAGAAAAAAATCAATGTAAAAATGTGATAATTAATATCATTAAAATTATTAAAAAATAAAAAAATTCAGAAATTCAGTCAGTCATCATCTTCTATTAATTACTTAACAATCAAGAGACATATATATTGGAACATTAATTTTTAAAGCACTTGTGGGATCAAATGTAGAAACTTAGTGTGTTGCGTAATTATAGATACTTAAAAGTATTTTTTAATTAAAATAATTTTATTTTTATAAAAAAATTATTTTTTATATTTTTACATTGAAAAACATCTAAAAAATTAATTTTATATGTTTTTAGAAAAACACTGCAGTGTCAAACAAGCACTTAACTATACAGATCAAAGTGAAATTTTTGTAAATCTATAAGGACTAAAAGAGTTAACTTTAGAAGCAACAAACGAGGAAAAAGCCGCATTCTATTCTTAATAAGTCCAGACTAAAATGTGGTTGTCTTCTGATGCGTCTCCTGCAAAAGACAATGTCCCATGATTGGCTCTGCAGGTATTTTTAATTACTGTCTTTGTCTAAAATCCAAATAAAAATGTTGTGTTGTATATGAATATCACCTTCAGTACTTTTTCTCCTTTGTCCCTTCCTCATTCTAGCCTCCGGGGTCCATGAAAAATCTCATCTTCGTTCGTTTTCCTTCTTGTTTTCCAAGAAAAAACTGTCGTTATTGATTGGGTTAATTTGGTGGTTCTGCTTTGGCGTTCTTTATTCTTTGCTAGAAATTTCTAGTTCCTCAAAGAATGGGAGCTTGTTGCAGTAAGGAACCATATTCTGACGGGGTGGTAGAGGATGCTATAGAAGAGAAAGAACTAGAAGATGAGGAGGAGGGTGATGTAATTGTTGGAGATTATGGAGCCCGTATGAGGTTGTATGGAGCTTCAAAATATACATCAATGTACACCCAACAAGGAAGGAAAGGGATCAATCAGGATGCCATGACTGTTTGGGAGGTGATAGAAAATGATATGCACATCATTCATTGTTTTTTTTTTTTCCTTATCATCTTTTCTCTAATGATCTGTTCATAACCTCTCATTATGTTTTGATAGTTACCATATTTCTTGGCCTTTGATTTATTTTCCTTTTTGTGATTGTAGTTTTAATTAATTTTCAATCATTTATTTTTCTCACATATAGGATATGTTGTTTTATGGATCAATGCAGACAATTCATGAAGATGAAATTCAAAATTTTTGATGTAATATTCAAATTGCTTTTACATATTTTGACGCGTGTGATGACGTCCCATTGCCTTATGCATGGAGTGCCTTTTCTGTTGTTGCCCGTGTCCCATGTTTTCATAGTTTTCTTTGGATGTTACTTACCTTGTCAATATATATGGCTAGGACAATTTTTCGGGTTTCCAGAGAAAGTTTAATTTCTCATGTATTTTTACTGTATGCTTGCCATGTATCTGTGTGTTATGATCTGGTGTTCTTATAATCACCCTGCACCTGCTGAGCACAAGAGAAGAAATATTGAGATTTTTCGATTAATTGCTGCATTCATTGCTATCTAGTTGGTGATCTGAAATGCATTGCTCTGACTTGAGAAAAATTCGTGAAAAATATATAGGTTTATAATTAGCATCATTCTCAGCATTGCAGGGCTATGAACAGAAGAAGTTTTTATATCAGTTAAACTAATTTGAGGTTTAAAATTGAGAAAGAGATTCCATGCCTCATCTTCATTTATGCTCCAATTAGATGCAGTATGTTTGCCCTATATACCCACACCGTTCTTTTGAATGGTAGAACGTGAACAATCTTGTGTGTTCGACTAAACTTTGAAGCTTGATTCAGGAATTTACAGGTGATAAAGATATGCTTTTCTGTGGAGTGTTTGATGGTCATGGTCCCTATGGTCACAAAGTTGCACGCCATATACGTGACACTTTACCCTCAAGGCTCTCTAGAGAAATCAAAACATCACAAAATAATAGCTTCAAAAGTAGAGATGCTGATGGAAAAAGAGATAATAGCGATGAGGTCAATAAAAACAAAGGTGGCAAAGATAGTCTTGACGATGATGATAGCAGCAGTCTGCTGTTATCTTCATGGGAGGCTACCTTTACCAAGTCCTTTAAGGAAATGGATGAAGAACTTAGCCTTGATGCCAGCATTGATAGCTTCTGCAGTGGTACTACTGCTGTAACTATAGTTAAGGAGGTATTATTACACTCCAAGTAAATACATTGTCAATGGATAGACATTTTTATGTTGTGTGTTTCTGACATCTTCTTTCTAATCTTCAGGGAAACAACCTGATAATTGCCAACTTGGGAGATTCTCGTGCTGTTCTTTGTTCTAAGGGCCCAAAAAATCAACTCATTCCCATCCAATTGACTGTTGATCTGAAACCGAATATTGCAAGTGGGTGTTTTCTTAGTATCGTTTGAATTCATGGCAAGAATCATGAAGTCTAACAAATCTTCTTTTGATTCATACTCTCAGGTGAAGCTGAAAGAATCAAGAACTCTAATGGCAGAGTTTTTGCATTGGAAAAAGAACCAGAATTGTTCAGAATATGGATGCCTGATGAAGATTGTCCTGGTCTAGCCATGGCAAGGGCTTTCGGAGATTTCTGCTTGAAAGATTATGGCCTCATTTCAACTCCGGAAGTTTCTTATAGAAGGGTTACTGATAAGGACGAGTTTGTGGTTCTGGCAACTGATGGGGTAAGAGGAACAAAAAAACAAATATTTTTAAATATAATCAAAGTGTCTTATAAAACTTATAGATTAATCTGCTAGTGTCAAGAATGAGCCTTCTGGACTTCGAGGATTTTTTTGTATTTACAGGTGTGGGATGTGTTAACAAACTTTGAGGTCATAAAGATTGTTGCTTCTGCAAGGAAGCGATCCATGGCTGCTAAATTGGTAGTAAAGCATGCTGCTCGTGCATGGAGAAGTAAGTTTCCTGGCAGCAAGGTTGATGACAGTGCGGTTATATGCTTTTTTCTGAAGAACCGGACTTTGTTAACCAGATCCTTCTCTGAAGTGACCCAACTCAGTGTAAATCATTCCGAGCTTGAAGGCTACTCTGACGTGAGTCTGGCCAAATTCGAAACCTATTCTGAGGTGAGCCGGGCCAGTCTCAATCACTCAGAGATTGCAGCAGTTCCTGAGAGGTTTAGATCCAAGAAACGAGAGGGAAGCTCTGAAAATGCCAACACTGACCTTAACTCAGAGGAGTATGAGTTTCCTCATTTCAGATTACAAAAAGTTAATTCATCCGGAAAGTTCCCTCGACTTCTCAAAGTTTTGAGTCGACGAAAATCAACCAGAGCTTACAAAGGTGTTGAAACTGTTGAAGTTTGATGACAATCTTCTCTGTCCGAGACCTTGTAATGAGGTTCTACTGAAGTGGTCTGCACCTCAGGGAATTTTTATGCCTCATTTGTACAAATATAGGAAGCCAAGGACCAAGTTGGGTGCTCCCCTTTTCACATGAAATTATCCCTTGATATAATTGTAAACTGGAAATATTGATAGATAAATGGTCATTGGAAGCACACTTCACTATTTGGGGACTGATTAGATTTTTTTTGGATGTAAAAAGAACAAGAAGAAAACTGATGATCTGATTTTGGCAAATTCCATCTGTTGGTATATTATTTGAGCTAATCTCTTCTTCCTTGATGAGGGATGGGGAAAAGGCAAGTGTATCTGTCTTTGTACTCGCTGACAAGTTCCTTCAATATCAGTTACCAGTCAATTCAATCCTATAAGAGTCTTGATTCCTTCCATACATCTTTCATTTTAATAATCTATCTTATATAAAGATTGGTTTTGAATCATCGTTGGAAATCTTCTTCAAGCTAGCCATATCGAAAGTAAACTGTACTCCTCTTAAATATGACAAGCATCAGGAACCGACCTACCAAAGCCAGTTTTATGGATACGGCACCCACCTACCGTTGTATGAGGCATGCATCAAACAGTTGAATGCTTTAAGATTCTTGAGACAGGATTCGCTCTGCGACTCAGATCCATCACCTTTATACATATGGATCTCCTCATGTTTGCATTTTCTCCGAGCAAGAAAACCATAACCAATAAATCACATGTTTTTTTTTCGAGCCGGAGCCACACGTATTGCCAGAGAGCCAGAGGAGGATACCCTTTACCGTCAAACAAAAAATAAATACTCTCTCAATGTCGAGACCACGTAAATCTGAAAAGACCATTCTGATAAAGTGAGGAAATTTTACTAACGTGCTTCCTGTCCAAGTTCTTGAGCATTGATCTCGGCTTCATTTTTGGTTAGGGTATGCACATTGCAGGCCACACATTACTAGTCAAAGATCTAGTGAGCTCAAATAGTGCACATATATTTGACAGCACTCCACGTTTCTCTCCCATTCTTGTTCAAGAACACTATCCATCCCCCCCTATAATGACCTGTTAATATGCTACCCACTCTCCATAAAAAATATAAAAAATTCTCTCTCTAAATATTTTTGTTCTTGTATATTTTCTGTTTCCTGCTCGCACTAGCCCATATCCTTGATTTTATATTAATTTTATACATGACCTCTTGCTTTAACTGCAACTTCAGAGTCTTTTGGTTCCCTCTTGATCTAAAAAGTACTGAAAACAAAGGATGAATCAAAATTCTACCACAGAATTAGTTTGCGAGGCATTTGAGGCGCATAAGATGATACGTCTTAAGCATGAAGATGAAAATTACTACAGTTTCTCACCTGTGCTTGTGCAGATTGGTTTAGTTACACTTTTCAAAACATTTTTTCAGTTCCTTCTCATGCCTTTTGGACAGCAGCGTTTTGTTTCGGAAATCCTGGTAATTAAATCCTCACCTTGTTACTCATTGAGCGTGCTATTGATTGAGTTTATGACAAATAATTAGCTTGATGCCATGATGTTTCGATCAATGTTTTTGTTCTTCTTGTTCAGCTGAGATGATAATGGTTTTTTCATGATTCCAGGGTGGAATTGCCATAAGCCCTTCATTTCTTGGACATATGGAAAGAATTAATAGATATTTGTTTGCACCAAGGAGTGTGATGATTCTTGATACCTTTGAAGTGTTTGGTCTCGTATTCGTTCTTTTCCTGCTTAGCTTACGGCTGGATATAACCGTGGTGAAGAAATGTGGGAAACTTGCAGTTGTTATAGGCCTTGCTTCTTTTGTGGTTCCGACGGTGATAACAACACTAATGGCTTCGTATCTAAGAGGATTCTTTAAATTGGAGCTTCACGAGGAGGTCTATGTCGTGGCTGTTATTATATCAACATCTTCCTTCCATGTTGTTTTTTCCATCCTTGAAGATCTCAAGCTCCTCAATTCGGAACTAGGCCGCCTTGCTCTCTCTTCTTCAATGGTCAGTGGATTGTTCAGCTGGAGTTTTATAGTAATTTTTGCTAATTTGAAAGAAGCCTCGAAGCTTGGTTCAAAGAAAGGTATAATATTAGCGCAGATAACCAGAATCCCCATGGTTATGATCATTGTTTTCGCTTTCCGACCTATGATGTGGTGGATGGTAAGACAAACCCCTGAGGGACAGCCTCTGAAGCAGTCATATATTTTGATTATCAGTACTATGGTTCTTTTCTGTGGTTTTTTGGGGGAAATCAATGGTCATCATTTTGTTTTTGGACCTCTGGTCTTAGGCTTAGCTACCCCTGATAATCCGCAGCTGAATTCTTGCTTGATGGAGAAGATTGGCACCTTTGTTAATTCATTTCTAGTGCCATGTTTCCTTGTAGATGTTGGCAGAGGAATCAATTTGTTCCTCGCCACATTCAAACATGTTGCATTTGCGCTAATGCTCATCTTTATATCTACCTTGACCAAACTTTCTGCCATTATAGCCACTTCACTCTATTACAAGATGCCATTTCGGGATGCTCTCTCGCTCGGTCTTATCTTGAATTGCAAAGGTTTCGTCGATGCACTATTATACAACGCTGCAAATAAGTTCGAGGTACCTTTTTCAACTTGACTGTACATAACTGTGAGCATGAAATCTATTAGCTCCCAGCTTTTGTTAATTAATCAAGAGAGCCAACGGACTAAACCTCTAAACAATGTGCAGGGTCTAAAAACTGAGTTTTTTAGCATCCTGGTTGTCACAGCAATGCTGCAATCGGTGTTTGTTACCCTGTTAGTGAGACTTCTCTATGACCCTTCAAGAAGATATATAGCCTACAAACAACGCACAATCCAGAACACCGGACTCCGTTCTGAGCTACAAATCGTTGCCTGTCTCCATCAACAAGATGATGTCCGCTCCATTATCAATGTTCTTGAAGCAACCAATCCAACCAGGGCAAGCCCCATAGCGGTTTATGTTTTGAACCTTAAGAAGTTGATTGAAGGCACCTTGCCGCTTTTCATATCGCACAGATTGAACAATATTTCATCTGCTGAGAAAATCGACATTGTCAGCAACGCCTTCTATCAATTTGAACAGCAAAATCAAGGTCTTGTTACTGTGCAATGCTTCACATCCTTCGCACCGTATGCCACAATGCACGACGACGTTTGCACTATGGTACTAGAGAAGAGTACCTCCTTGGTGATCGTTCCTTTTCAACGCTATGATAGCCCTTCAATGAGAGCAGTCAACAGGAACATACTCGTAAAGGCTCCATGTTCTGTCGCTCTCCTCGTTAACCGTGGGAATTTGGATCGATATGTTTTATCAGGTCGACTCACAATGAAGGTCTGTGTGGTTTTCATAGGAGGGACTGATGATCGTGAGACGCTAGCATACGCTCAACGCATGTCCGGGCATCCCAACATCAGGCTGACAGTGCTCAGATTAGTCTCTGTGGACCAAACTTTTACTGATTTGATAGAGAAAAGACGCAACTCGAGCATGATTAACGAATTCAGGCTCAACAACAACGACTGCCCGCGTGTTTCATATAAGGAAGAGATGGTGAAACATGGAAATGACACCGTTCGGTTGCTGGGAGCCATGTGCAACGATTTTGATCTTATTATGGTGGGAAGAAGGCATGATCCTGATTCTACACAGTTAATTGGGCTATCAGAGTGGGGTGAGATTGATCAGGATTTGGGTGTAATCGGAGACATTATGGCATCTAAAGACTTTGAGTGCAAGGCATCCATATTGGTGGTGCAACAACAAGCTTCGGTGGTGGTAGAGATGATTCAAAGCCAAAAATACATATCCGTTTATAATTCTGATAGATAGAGCTAGTTCAACTAGTGTTATTCGAACTAATGTTACCAGCTGTCCTCGTTGATACATATGAAGGAACTTTCAGTAAAAGTTCCCACGACACAGGCTTAGATAAGGTTATATGCGGGGCCGGTATGAACCCGGTAGTAAGAGAGTTAAACGAGGCCTTGTTTCACAAAGGATCCCTCCTAGTGCAGCATAGGATATAAGCCCAGCCCGCATAATGTTACACAAATGTGTCGTCTGCCGAAGTTACTGTGCTGATTTGGCTCGACTGATTAATTTGAATTAACTTTCAAACATGAAAATAATGTTTTGATTTTTTTAAAAATAATTTAAAAGTTCGATCGGATTGTAAGTTGACTCGTCGGGCTAACCGAACAAACCCAAATCTACTCTAGATTCATCTCTTTCAAAACTCGGCCAGACTAAAATCGAGTCCAACTACCAAGTCGTCAGTTTTAATAACTGCCCCACTCTTGATTCTTGCTTGGAGTCTTGCAATGCATTTAAGTTTTTTGAAAATTGTTCGAAGGGTAGAATTTTTTAAGTTCCTTGCTTAGACATTTGTAGTCAAAACTTGATAGGACAGATTCAATGAACCACTTTTTTTTTTTTAGGGACACATCCTCACCATCTCTAGAAAAGGAGGCATGCGAGCTATGTAGCGATGCGGCCTAGTACCTAAGGATATCAAGGGTGTATTTGATTCCAATACCTTGACTTGTTGCTCGCCAAAAATCATTTTAATGGTATGATTAGTTGGGTAATTTTTTTTAAAATATTTCATTTAGAAATATATTAAAATAATATTTTTTTATTTTTAAAAAATTATTTTAAAAATAAATACATCAAAATAACTAAAAACACTAAAAAAGAAATAATTTGAATTAAAGAAAAATTTTAAATTTTTTAAAAAATACTTTTAGGGACTAATGATGAAAATTTCTCAGTCACGTCAGAGGGTCAATTAGTGTCATGGGTCTGAGACTCTGAAGGGATCATTCAACCGAAATGGGAATGGCTATGGCTTGATTTCAATTCTTGTGCCCCAGCTAGGCAGAGAGTGCTATGCAAGTTTTGCTAGTTGAGGGCTTACATCAACAGACCATACAGCACCGAAAAGGCATTGAAGAAAGCTACAAAAGATCACGGTAACAGAGAACATCATGTCTATTTCAATGAACCAATGGACATAAGATTACTGTCATCATGAGGGCAGCACGCAGATATTGAAAATTAGGCACCACGCTCTCACTTTATCTACCCGCCCCCTGCAGATATTGAAGCTCACTACCCGTGATCCGTAGCTCCTGGCAGATAGAGATCTCTTCACAAGATCCCTCATTTTGTTCTTCAAGTCTTCACACGAATCCATTGGGGTTACCCCAAGTGGTTTTCTTCCCACTTTTTCCAAATAGAAAATTCTAAAAACCAAAGCCAGTGGCAATCAAAAGAAGCTATAAAATGAACTTTAACACATTAATTCTAACTCTTTTTAGTTTTTACAGCCTGGGTCACAGATAATATCCCCAAATCGCCATTTAGCTGCCAAGTTAATATTTGAGAACAGAAAGGATATATATCTATCTATATATAGAAAGAATAATCTTACGTCTACCCAATGATCGAGCAAATTCCAATCCTGTGATCGATGCCCACAGCTCTGCTTTAGCTGAAAAGCGAACACCGTGTTAATGGTAAATCCCTTGATCCATGATCCCAAACTATCTCCAAGCACTCCTCCTGCCCCTGCAAATCCCGGGTTGCCTTTGCTGCAACCATCAACGTTTAATTTCACCAATTCCATGGTTGTTTGGTCATCCTACCATTGTGACATGCTTTCTGTCCGATTTCGATTCCTCCCCAGATTGAGTAGAGATGTGAAAATCAATTGCCATGCGTTTAATTGCTTCCAGAGAATTGGGATTTACTTAATCTGTCCCCCCAGATGCTTGTTGGTATCTAGCTCATGTCTATCCTGGCGAGTGACTTCTGTGAGATAGATCTTTATATTTTACAAAGCCAAGGCTAAAAAACCAATAATATATGAAATTCAATATAAAAAATAAGAAGATTTTTAATTAACAAAATGATTTTCCTATAAAAATCAAAAGCTACCCTTCTCTTTATCTTTAAATCTTGTTTGAGTAAAAATGCGTGTTTAAAACATGCTTTGCTTTAAAAAGTATTAAATTAATAAATTTTTATATTTTTTAAAATGTTAACGTAAGGAGAAATACTGAATAAATTATTTTAATAATTTAACAAACACGTGCCACATGCACACACATCCCTAGAAGCAAGCAGACTTCGAACTTTCTCAAGTCCAGTCAATTGGGTGAATTAATATAGGAAGGAAGCGTTTGGAATTTGGTAGCATTTAAAATATTTTTTATATATAAATATATTAAAATTTTAATTTTAATTTTAGAATTATTTTTAATATTAGTATATTACAGGAATTAAAAAAATTATTATAAGCAATAAAAAAAAAATTAAAAGAGTACACAACAATTTCCAAAACACACCACATATCCCGAACTCCAGCTGCTTTCTTCTTGAAAAGCATAACAGCTCCAAGATCAGCCGAAAGGGTAAACAAAGCGAAATTGCAACCATTTTAACCAATCCTTCAATTTTTTAAGGATAAACAAAGCTCAACTGCAACAAAATCCAATCCTTGCCGAAGTAGACAAAAGTCAGTCCTGTCTTTCTCCCTCTAGACTACCACCAGCAAGCTGTGGTTTCTTCTTTAGGAGGACTCCAAGTCTTTTGCAACACAAAGCAAAAAAGGTCCGTCTGTCAAAAAAACCCTTTTTTGTGCAGCTGGCCGAAAGAATTTTTGTGCAGAATTCTGGCCAGTGCTACCCAGAGTACAAGAGAAGGTAATTTGCTTTGATTTTTCACATTATACGAGCTACTACAAAATACCATCATTTTTATACATGAAATATTAGCGGCGCTATCAACTAGGCTAAAACAGTTCAGACCCATTAATTAAACCTCTCAAATATCAATATCAAGAACAACATACTCTTGAGAAATCTCAAGTTAATAGAGCTTAGGCAATGGCGGATTTGCGGACAAAGTATCGATATGCTGCGACCTTCTTTTTCCTGGAGAAGGTGTTGTCCACTGAAAGCACCATTTTGCCAGCTTCTCTTGACGTATATGAATTGCGAATTGCTTCTTCTGATGGTGCAATCTTCCTTGCCTTCTCCACCGCAATGGTGTAGCTTCCTGCGGCGTTGGGCACAAACTCAGCACTGTACTCCAAGTCCCAGCCCCCAACCACTATGTCCCATGTTATTGTTGCACCAGCCTGTATTTGATCACCCAGAAGGGACACGATAATTAAAACACAACCCACCATTTTAATTCAAACAAATTAAAAACCTTCCGACAAAATTCACAACTATAAGAGAGAACAAAAAAACAAAGAAATTGAACCTCAATTCCTTCAATCTGAATGTTCACTTTCTCTCCTCCCTTGACAGCAAACTCGGAGGCTGGCTTAGGAGGGCCATTCTGCAGATCACTGGGTCTACTCAGTCCTCCATACTGAACTGGAACATCCTCAGGCCTAATAAATCTTGTGACACAACGAAAGGCCGCCGTTAGATAACATACTCAGATCAGGGAGATAAGAAGGGCGAAAACAAAACAAAAAGGCAGATTACAAAAGGCAAGGAGCAGAAATTCGGGATCTCACAAATAGACACCTGGGGCTCCAACAAAACAAAACAAAACAAATAAACCAAAAAAGGTAAAGCAAGCAGGCAGACAACAAAACAAAAAGGCAGATTAGAAAAGGCAAGGAGCAGAGATTCGGGATCTCTTAAATGGACAACTGGGGCTCCAACAAAACAAAACAAGCAAACCAAAAAAGGTAAAGCAAGCAGGCAGATGATAAAATACAAGAACTTAAAAGACTAACTTGTAAAGTGTTTCTGCAACATTTCCTTCCTTGGAGATCACAAACTTGCTCTTAGTTCGCTGAGTCAAGAAGGGACTGAACACGGAGTACAGCACACTGAAGTACCAAGGCACATTGACGAAAATCTAGCCCCAACCCAAAAAACCAAGTTATAATTAAATCTCAATACATGATCAAATCATTGAATATGAAGAAATTGTAAACTATCAAGAAATGGGTGTTATTTATTACCTTACGCGCAACCATTTCCGGGTAATTGTCTTGAAACAAGGACAGGATTTGATTAGAAGCAACTCTAAGCTCTCTTTTAGGCATGTCTTTAAGATCAGTAACTTGGATGATGGAGTTAACACCTCCAGGCTTAAAATGCAAAAGTCTAATCCCTCTTTCAAGAACCTGAACTCTCCACCTTAAGAACTTCTTCAATTTCTCTTCATCACCGAAAATCCTCTCATACATTTCTTTATCTTTAAAAACCCCGTAAGCATTGTAACAAACTGGATGACCTTCTCTATCATAACCATGCATGTAAGCGACAACACCTTCAAGTTCTTTAAACCCCAAATCCTCTTCCACTATATCATCAGCCCCGAACTCTTTTCTCCAAGACAGACACTTTTCTAACATGTGAAGTGAATCTTGAACTCTAAAATCTCTAGCTCTCAAAAACTTGAGCAAAATCACATCAGCTTTTTCATCATTGCTTAAAAGAGGAATACCCCACATGGAACATTCACTAGTAGCGTCAGACCCATAAGAAACTGAAAGTTTGTCTCTTAGTTCTTGAAGTGCCTTCTTCTCTGAATTTTTTAGGTGGGAAATGAAGTAAGTGTCTTCTTTGAAAGAAGGAGTACGTAAAGCAGCTGCTTCCATCAAAGAAGTGACAAAGCTTTTCTTGTAAGGTTTTGGCGAGGCTTCAGATACTGAATAGTCTTGGTGAGGTGTTTGTTGAAGTGAAATAGGTGATGAAGCATCCATTTCGAACGGGACCCAGGTGGAATCTCCTTGCAAAGATTGGAAATGTAGTGGTGCGGTTGAAGTATGTTTAGAGGGGCTAGCGAAAGTTATAGTTGATTCTCTAGGAAAGCAGAGCAGGGGTTTTGCAAAGAGCGGGTTGCAAGGGCGGAGAAAAGAACAGGGATGGCTAGCTCCTGTCACTGAGGGAGTGAGAGAAGGCTATGAGTGTGAAAATTCGCAGAGAAAACAGTGTCTAGAGAGTTGAGCCGCTATTTTGATTTGAACTTTCAAAAGGAGCTTATAAAAAAGAGGAACATCTACTAGAGTGAGAATTGAGAAAAGGCAATTTTGAATTGAGCTGGGGAGTGAGGTCACGAGCTGGCTGTGGTTAAAGCCGTAAAGCACTGACAAAAACAAAATATTTTATGGCATGTCCTAATCTTTTTTATATAGAATAAGGAAGCTTTTTTTATTTTATTTTACCAAAAATCTTTGATTATTTTTTATTTTCATTTTCATTTAATGCTTCTCATTGTTGATAAAAGTTTTTCTTTTCGAATAGCTTCATGTCAAACGTTAGAGTTTTATCATTAAATTAACTCTCTTTTCAAATAATTTTAACTTTAATAAATTTCAAAATAATTATTAAATATAAAATTTTAAATAATATATATCATCAATTATATACAAAAATATAATATTTTAAGACATGGGTATGTACATGGATTATAATTATTTTTTCTTCAAGATATGAATCTTAAAATTTAAAATATTTTTATTTTAATTATAAAAAAATATAGCTAAACTGATTAAACTCTAAATCTATTTATTATAATTCATTAATTTGAGTTTTGTAAATTTTAATATTATTAAAGATTTACATAATTGTTATTTTCAGGAACTATGAAATTAGTTAAGGTATATATAAGTTGTTTTATTTATCAAAATTAATAAAAAAATAATTTTTTATTTTAAATTTTAAAATTTTAAGTTTTTATAGTAATCTAGTATTTTATCCCTAAAAAATTATGGCATCTTATTCTTCACCCTTCTAAGTTTATTTATTTTTAAATCTACTTGGGAAGTTTTTTATTTGACATCAATTATAATTTTTAAATTTATATTCATTTTGAAGAGTACAAATATTTAATTAAAATAAAACTTATATTAGTAAAACTTTACCATTATTATCTTGAAATAAATAGTTAATAGGCAACTAAATCCTAAAGGATCCTCCCATAATTTCCACTTGAATTCAAGAAATATTTATTTTGGTGGTTTAACTTGTTTTTTAAAATATTTTTTATTCAAAAAAATAAATTAATGTTTTTTATAATTTTAATCTTTCAATTTAAAATATTTAAAAATATTATTTTAATTAAAAAAATATTTTAAAAAACTCTGAATTTTCATTACCGAACAGTCGCCTACGATAATTATTCCAATCTCTGAAAACGAATAATAAATAAATAAATAGAATTAAGCCGAGTCAAAGCCATGAAAAAGAAGCCGTAGAATTTGAGAATCGAAGGGGTGGTGGTGGCTTGCAGGGGAGGCGATAATAATTGAGGGTACACAGAACAGGGCACGGGGTCTTTGCAGGTATGGTCCACCTCACTCCGGTAACCCTGAAAATTATTTTTTTTCTTACAAATGTGGACCCATCTTCTCTTCTCTTCTCCTCTCACACGCCACCCAAGCTCGAATCTCGGGGGCAACAGTACTTTCTCTTGACTTCTCTCCACCAGCCAAAGAAAAGACATCATCTAAAGCACAGAGAGCCATACATGTATAACAGTGGGGCAAAAAGACAACGCGGAAAGTGGGGTTTGATAAGATCATCTTTTTGGTTGCTAATTACCAGCGTAAATCTTAAGTTAACCATGATTAAGGTGGTTTAGGCGGTAGTGGTTTCTGGTCGGGTGGCCCTGTTTGCCAAGTACTCGTCTGGTACACATCAGTGAGCTTCACACATTGCTTCTCTTTGTTCTACTCATTTCTTCATGGACCATTCTGCTTTATTAAGGATGTTAATTATGAACATGCTCAAAACAACAAAATTGATACAGACAATAACTTTCAAGTCTAATTTGAGGTTTTTCTAAGCATGATTTGTCACAGCTAGCTTATTTTTTATTTATTTTTTTATGAAATTGGACTTATAGATTCATATGGGTGAAATTCAAGTATAATCCAGAGATTAAATTAAAAAAAGAAGAAGAAGTTACTTTAGGATGTTTGTTTATCTGGCGCAGACAATAATCAATATACAAATCTACCAAGCTTTCTCATTGATTTACTAGTGTCAGGTCCACGTTTAAATATTTAAAACTATCATATTTTATGAATGAATTCAGTAAAATGTAATGCTCGAGAGACATTTATGATTATAAAGAATTTAATGTAATTAAGCATCAGGTTTACGGAAAGAATTTTGAAGCAATTTAGACTAGAGTAGCAATTTAATATCTTTTATTTTCTAGTAGATATCGGGAAAATTGTAGTGATTATTTTTTAAAATATATTTTTATTTTTTAAAATTATTTTTAATATCAATATATCAAAACAATATAAAAAATATAATTTAAAATAAAAACATGATTATACATTCCAAACAGCCCTTGATCAAGCTAGTAGATATCGGGAAAATTATAATGATTATTTTTTAAAAAATATAATTTAAAATAAAAATACGATTATACATTCCAAACAGCCCTTGATCAACCTAATTAAGTGGTTGGCATAGCAGTGAGCTTTGCCTAACAGTGGCATTAGGTTTTGGTGGAGAAACGTAGAAATTAATAGCTTGCAATCTACATCCCTCAATAGAAGAAAAGATAAATATTCACATGTTTTTTTATTAGGTATGGCTTGTTGTTATTCATATGCTGAACAGATTTCATGAATTCCTAGCAACAAAGGCAGCTCATACAGGGCGATGTGGTAGGCTGGCGAATTCTCGATCGGAGGCAAAATCTAGTTTCGAGCAAAACTAAATATTGCATAAAAAATTGGAGTTGAAGGTGGTGGACTGCGTAGAACTTCTTCCGAATATGTTTATGGATTGGATTGAAAGTCTCGGATTCAAGTCGAAATTTATATGCTTCGAGTATAATAATAGCCATGTTCCTTACGAGATAGGTCGGAAACACGCTCAAATTAGGTATATAAAATGTTGTTTCGGGTTTTTCTTTATTTTTCCTTAATTGTTTTTAAATTTTGGATGTTTCTTAACTTCCCGAGTTATTTTTATTTATTTTCAAAGGGGTTTTATTTATCCAGACAAGTTCCGAACTTTTATCTCCTTGTGTGAGAATAAATAGCTTTTAGGGTTCTTCT